GCGGGGTCCGCCCAGCCGGCCCTGACGCGCCCGCCCGCCCTGCCAGACGCCGAGTTCTCCCGCAACCTGGACCGGGTGGTGGAGAACCTGAGCAACCTCAAGTCCCTGGGTGAGTGCTGGGGCGGCCAGCGGGCGGCCAGCGGGCGGCCTGCGGGAGGCCGGCGGCTGTGGCTGTCGGGGCTGACGCTGCCCCGCCCAGGCCTGAACGAGCGCCGGCGGGCCTTCGAGTCCCTGGAGAGGCTGCGCCTGGAGGTGGACAAGCTGTGGGTGGAGCTGCGCGAGGCCAACGGTGAGTGCGCCTGCAGGGGGCGCTGCGAGCCGCGGGGTGTCTGGGGTGCGGGCTCCGCGGCGCGGCCCTGCCAGTGTGCAGGGTCTGGGGGCTCAGAGGGCTCTTCGGGGTCCAGCTGGCCCCTCCACCCGCCCGGAGCAGCCCCGTACCGTCTCGGGAGCTCTGTGGGGACATGCAGGGAGGGTCCCCCCAGGCCGCGGGGGGCTGGGCAGCAGGCTGAGGAAAAGCAGCACCGGCGTCTTCAGGCTGGTTATCTGCCCGGTCCCCCCTTCGCCCCCCTCTGGCCTCCCCCTCCGGGAAGCCCCAGCTGCCCCGACCGTGAGAAGAGGAAGGATCTCTGCTTGGTGGAGGGACGTGCTGTCCCCTGGGGCGCGTGTCGCTGTGGGGATCCCAGCAAGAAACTCCCCGGTGGTCTTCTGGGCTCTAGGCCGGTGCTGGGAGGGTCAGCTCCCGACCCCCCTCCAGGGGCGGGGATGCCCCTGGCTCTAGGGCTGGCTCTGGGCAACATCCAGGTGCCCCCAGAGCTCCCCAGCACCCCCCAGAGCTCCCCAGCACCCCCAGAGTGCCTGCCCAGTTATGCCCCCCCATGTGGGAAGCACCGCCAGCTCTCTTCCTGGGGTTCTGAATGCTGGGCCCAGAGCCTCCTAGGAGCCCCCACGGGAGTTTCGGGGCCCTGCCCGCACACCACTCAGGGCACCCAAGATCAGGCCAAGAGGGAGCCCCGGGCGCAGCCTCCTCCTGAAGCACCAGGTGCCTGTTTCTTGGGGTGGAGACGGGGAGACAGTCGGAGCTGTCCGGGCATGGGGGCCACGGCCTCTCCTGCCCAAGGAGAACCGCACCTCAGTTCCCACAAAGGCGCCCCGGGTGTTGCTGCGCAGCTGCGCTGCATGGTGGGGGCGGGGCATGGAGAGCAGGGGCGACCCAGCCCCCTCAGCGCCTCACTGGGCTGTTTAGGTTCTGGGGGGGCGGTGGGGGTGCGGGCGTGGCGGGCCTGCTGGGAGGACGATGAAGGTGCTCGGAGAGCGCGGCGACTGGGGCGCCCCGTGTGGGGGTGCCGCTGGCCTCGGGTGTGGCGTGTGGCGACGGGGCGCCCCGACCGCGCACTCGGCGGGGGGCTCTGGGGCGGCGGCGCGGCCGGGCAGCCTGCTCAGACGCTGGTCTCGCACAGCAGCGCCGGCGCCCCCGGACCCCCCGGAACCCCCGCTAGGCTCCAGGGTGGCTGCGCCTCCAGCCCAGGTCACAGGCGTCACTCCGGGGGACGCCGCGCCCACTCCGCCCGCTGCACCTGTCGCGCGGGCCACAGCTGTCGCGCGGGCCACAGCACCCCCCACGTCCTCAGGTTCTCGGTGCGGCTCGTGCCCCGAGCAGTGGGTCAACTTCCGGCGGAAGTGCTACTACTTCGGCCAGGGCTCCAAGAAGTGGGTCCAGGCCCGGAACGCATGCCGCGGCCTGCAAGGGCAGCTGGTCAGCATCCACAGCCAGCAGGAGCAGGTGGGCCCTGGCTCTGCATGACGGGGGGTGGCCACCCAGCCCTTCTTGGGGGAGGGGCCAGGCGCACCTGCCCACCCTCAAGCCCCCGCCTGCCCCCAGGACTTCCTGACCAGGCATGTCAGCAGGACCGGGTCCTGGATCGGCCTTCGGGACCTGGACATAGAGGGGGAGTTTGTCTGGATGGACGGAAACCCCCTGGACTACAGGTGAGGGGCACGCTGCCCGGGGCGCAGACCAGAGAAGGCGAAACTGTGATGAGACGCAGGACGCCGGGCCTGGGCGCTGGCCCAGACGTGGAGGCGATTCTGGACTGCACCTGAGGGTGACGGCCAGGGTCTGGGTGCGGGGCCAGGCTGGGGGACGGCCTCTGGGGTGGAGTCAGGGGTGGGGAGGGAGGGCCCGGGCTTAAGGTGCATCCTGGCTGCAGGCTTAGGGCCCCCCTGCCCTGCCCCGCCTGACCCAAAGTCTTCTGTTCCAGCAACTGGGGGCCGGGGGAGCCCAACAACGGGGGCCAGGGTGAGGACTGCGTGATGATGCAGGGCTCGGGGCAGTGGAACGACGCCTTCTGCTACAGCCCGCTGGACAGCTGGGTGTGTGACCGCCTGGCCACGTGCTGACGCCCCTCCCCAGCCTGCTGCCAACTGCCCTGCCCCACCTTGAACTCAGGAACAGCCAAACCCAGGATAGTACCTGCCCGGCCTCTGGCCCAGCCCTGACCCCTACGCACCAGAGGGCCAAGGAGGGCACTGTCCTGGGCATGGGGGTCCTCCAGGACCAGGTAGGGACAGAGCTGGCCCCTCGGCTAGACATGCCCCAGGGGCCCCAGGTCTCCGGCTGTCCCTACCAACGACCCGTGCACAGACCCGTCTCCTCCTCAGAAAGCCATGCCAGTGAGTGAGCAGCGTTCTGCGCTGCCGGTCACTCGGGCCCTCGCTGGGGCGTCCCCGCCGCCTCCCCCCACTGCCCTCACCCTCCTAAGCCAGGGCAGGGACCTGCGTAACAAGCCAGTCACTAGCCACCACCTTTCCTCCCTGCTGCCTCTGCTTGGCTGGCCTGTTGTCACCACCCCAGCTTTCCTCTTGGCTGCCCCTAAGCCTTCTAGAAGTTTCCTTCCAGTCCAGACAAACGTGCGAGTCCATGGTTCCTCCCGGGCCGGGGACGACCCCACGCCCCTCACTCTCCAGCCCAGCGCACCAGTCGGGGAGTTCCTCCCTCGGGCTCACGCCCACCTCGCGCCTAAGGCCAGTCCAGGACCCGCCCGCACCCCGGCATGCCCTCACCACGGTGCAGACCGGTGGGCTGCCGCCTCTGCCGCGGTGGGGGCCCGGGAGCCACCGGTTTGCTACGGGCGGTCTCTGGCCCCGCACACAGCAGGCCCACACAGATGCCGGGACGGGGCCAGCGTGGCAGGGCGGACGACTTCTCACGGAGACGCGAGGTGCCCCGAGACGAGGTGCCGCGTCTGGGCCCTCCTCCCCTGGCCCACAGCACAGCCCCTCTGGCGGGGTCTCACCTGCGGCCCCAAGCGCAGAGCCGCGGCCGTGGGCTGCAGGCCCTGCTGACCTTCCTCCGCGCCCTGCCCCAAACCAGGCCCAAGCCCACAATCCTGGCTTGTTTTAGACTTCCGTCCTCCCTGGTGGCGCAGGGGTTAAGGTCTCAGCACTGAGAAGCTGCCGCAGCCCATGCAGCACCAGTTCAATCCCCGGCCAGGGAGGGACCCCCAGGGCGCAGCAGGCCCCTCCTGACCGGCCCCCTGCTCCCCTCAGCAGTGATCTCAGTGGATCTGCCTGTTCTGCTCCCCACTCGGTCTCTGGGGAATCCTCTCACCCCCCCACCTCTGGCCTGTACCCCAGCTCTTGTATGCATAAATAAAAATCTTTTTAAAAACCCCAAATGTCTCCCTTCCCCCAAGACACCCTCTCTCCCTCAACAAAGACAGACCCCGGGCCTCGGCTTCCGGCTGACACGCTCTCTGCCTCCAGCACTCTGAGCGCCCCGCTGCCGCCGGCCCCAGACGGAGCCGGCCGCCTGCCTCTGCCTCTCCCTCAAGCAGTCGCCCTCACCGTCCCTGCGAGCCTTGCTAACCCGGAGACAACTCCGCAGAAGCCCCCGAGGCAGGCCCCGGCACCACGGCCCGGCTCTCCGTCCGCCGGGCCTGCTGCGCCCCCATGCACTGACCCCACATTTCCCCTCAGGCCCGAATCTTGGGGGCCTCCTGGACACCACCCCTCAGCCCAGACAGCTGCCGCCGCCTGGCCACCTCCCCTCCCGGCTACCTGGGCCCCTCCTTCCCCCAACAACACTGCTGACCAGAGCTACACATAGCAGGCGTTCAATTTTATTCACCCCGAGGCGCACTGGCTTCTTCACAATGTGCCCCCCGACACCCCGCGGAATGAGATGCTCACATGGGCATCCCACCCCCACGATGCGGCCGGTGGAAAGCTGCCACCGCCCCATCTTGAAACCTGACAGGCAGCCCTGAGGTTCCCCTCCTAAGCAGACGGGGGTGGGGGGAACGGATTCAAACGCATCCCCCAAACTGTCCGCAGCGCTCACCCTGGAGAGGCCGCGAAGCCTCTGCTCTTACCGCAGGGGCGGGTGCCTGCCACGCGCCCAGAGACCAGCTGCAGGTGCGCTAGGCATCCGGCCGACTCTGAGGCGGGCTGCCCGTGCCGTTGGGCGCCACCCTGGGCCGGAGCCCTCACGGGCCAGTCCCTGGAGCGACCCGGCCCCAGAGCAGGGGGGCCTGAGTTTTAATATCCTGCGCCCTAGCGCCCGCTCTGCGGCGGGCCTGGGGCCTGGCTGAGGTGCAGACTCCAGTGCGCAGGCAGGCGGCCAGGGGGCCTGCCCACCTTCCAGCTGGGGGGCGTTGCACCGCCCAGGCACTGAGCAGCGAGGTCGGAAGCAGGGGACGGCGAGACCCAGCGCGTTTCCTGGGCGCACGGGCAGACTCGGAGTGCGGGACACGGGTGTCGCCGCTCAGCCCTGCAGAGCGCGCCCGCCGCGGGCCCCCGGACTGCTCCCCCATCTGACACCCCCGCCTGTTCAGTCAAACTGCCCCAAGACTCCAGAAGCGCCGCGCAGTCCCCAGCCAGCCAGGGAGGGTGCCAGGGAGGGTGCCGGGGAGCCACCCTCACCGGGCTTAGCTCCACCCCCTGGCGTCCCCGCCCCCAGGGCATCAGGGACAGCTTGGGCCTTGGCCTCCCTCACCCACTGAGGCCCCCGCCCGGGGCCGAGGTGCGGGGTGAATCTCTGAGGCCCCCACACAAGACACAGGACACGAGGGCAAGGGCGCGTCATCCTTTATCTCCGTGGGGTCAGCGGCCCTCCAGGGCCCGGTCTCGAGCAATGACCGCCTCCTCGAACTTGATCATGAGCGTGGTGCCCTTGTGCCAGTGCGCCGTGACCTTGGCGGGGAAGCCGCTGTGCGTCAGCACCGCCTCCACGATGCCCGCCGTGAAGCTGGCGCAGTTGAGCGTGCTGTTCTCCTTGGGCACGGAGATGTAGGTGTTGATGAGCGGCTCGCGCTCGATGATGTAGAAGGTGCGCGCGTCGTCGTTGGCCTGCTCCAGCTTGTCGGCCTCCTTGCCGAAGAGCGCCTTCCACACGGCGCCCTTGACGAACAGCAGCGCCCCCAGCACCTTGGTCTCGCGCCGGGCCCCCTTCTCACGGGCCACCAGGGCGTCCAGGACGCGGGCGCCCACCTGGCGGCCCAGCGCGGCCAGGCGCGCCTGCAGCTCGGCCACGGAGAACACGCGGCTCTGGCAGTGCTGCACCAGCTCGGAGAAGAGCAGGGCGAAGGCGCTCAGGCTGACCTCGGTGCGCGGCCGCGCCAGCGCCCGCTCCAGCAGCGCCGACTTGCCCCGCGTGAAGCGCGCCTCCATCCCGCGCCTGCGCCTGCGGGGACAAGCGGCAGGTGTCTGGGGGCGGGGCCAGAGGCCAGCCAAGCCCCAGCCCGCGTGCCTCCCGCCGACTCCCCCGCGGGAAGAGACGACTCAAGGAGAGAGGGCAGCCCGCACACCCCTCGCCTACACCCCAAAGGCACCTGACAGGGGAAAGGCTTGACCTCAGCCCAGGTTCTCGCCCGGAGGAGGGCTGGGGGACGGAGGGCGCGCCAGAGCCGGCCCAGGACGCTGCAAAACACCCAGTCCTCAAGTTCCAGAGGGTTCCTGGTGCCATTTGTGGGAGCCCCACCCTCGCCCACTCCGGTGTGAAGCCCAGAAAATCTGGCACGTGGTGGCACCTGCCGTGGACTAGGCTCCGAGACCCTCCCGACCTCTCCCCTGCCGTGGGTCGGAGAGAGGCGCGGGGAGGGCTGTGTGAAGACCCCGGCTAAGGGTCGCGAGCTTGGGGGTCACTGCCATACCTGGGGCGAGCCAGAGGGGCTCCGGGGAGCCTTCCAAGCACGCGCCCTCGGCCCGCGCGGGCTCGCACGGCACTGAGCGCACCTCCCCGCGACGTGGATGCCTGCAGGGGCCTGCCCGGAGAAGGCGAAGGCGTGGGGAGCCTGCACCCCTGTGCTCTCCGGAAGGGTGGCTGAGAAACGAGAGCGGGAGGCGTGTCAGCCCGGGGCTTGGGGGGACAAAAGGGAGAGCTGGGGACCCGGGGACGGGTCTCTGCCGTCCGTGTAGGAGGAGAGCAATAAGGAGCGGTGGGGAAGAACCCCGGGGGCGCGCAGCACCCACGCACTCTCG